CTTGACTATGGGCGAACATGGCAACCCTACCAGTATTACGCTACAGACTGCTTAGATGCTTTCCATATGGATCCAAAATCAGTGAAGGATTTATCACAGCACACAGTTCTAGAAATCATTTGCACAGAAGAATATTCAACTGGGTACATGACAAATAGTAAAATAATCCACTTTGAAATCAAAGATAGGTTTGCATTTTTTGCTGGACCTCGGCTTCATAATATGGCTTCCCTGTATGGCCAGCTTGATACAACCAAGAAGCTAAGAGATTTCTTTACTATCACAGACCTGAGGCTAAGATTGTTAAGGCCAGCCACTGGAGAAATATATGTAGATGAGCAACATTTGGCACGCTACTTTTATGCAATCTCTGACATAAGGGTATATGGAAGGTAAGAGAACGTATGCCTTTCAGAATGGGTATATATATTATTTTCCTTAGAAAATGATCAGATTTTTCCATTCCCCTAAATATTACAACTTTTTTTTCCAGGATCTAGCTCAGTAAAAATCAGTTTCTGAAAGCAGTGGATATGTCTGATTCAGAAGTATTTAAGTCATTAGAGTTGTCCTGTCATTTGACAAATCTCTGAAGGTTTGAGTGGAATATGTTTTTTAAATTGGGTTAGCAATGTCTATCTTTTTAGGTCTGGGAATGAAACACAACCCAGTATAAGGAATGCTGCACCAGACACTCCCTTCACATACTTAGGACCAGATATCACAGAAATCAAAGGATCGCTGTACTTTAATGCGGGCCCTTATTGTAAGGGGTAACCAATATGAAGGCCTTGCATATATCTTTTCTTGAACTAAGGGGAACTTCTTTTTCTGAATTGTATAGTTGTGTGTTTAAGTTAATGAAGACCATGGAGGCTAGAATGAATTTTAACATACTTTAGCTGATTCGAATAAAGATAAGGTAGAGAAATCAAACCAATATTTTGGAAAACAAAATATTGTAGGCCAATTAGGACAGAATACTAGGTACTGTACCCCAGATTAGGCAAATTAACTATCCTGTGCCCAGTAATGCCTTACACCAAGTGTCAGACCAATGAAGGACAATTTTGAGCAAATATTCTTGTGGGTTAACACTGACTGCTCCTGGAAATCATTAATCAGTCAGGTGTCAATACATGGGGTTAAAGCTTTTGGAATCCCACTAAGCTGTTGGAAAAGGTAGTTCCTTTTATAAATTTTAAATGTGATATTTTAAATTAATTGGATGCCACTTTATGCATGGGTCATCAAAAGAGGTAAATATCTCTTTTGATACTATCATTTTACTTACTTTTTTGCATGTACCTCTTAGCCATACCCTCCATAATTTAAAGAATCCACAACTGTTTCCTAAAAATCTCAACAGCATTTGAATGTGTACAAACAAAAAATCTACTCCTGGTACTAAAACTATACTGGAGGGATAAAGAATGTTACATACTTTAAAGTAATAAGATAGTTGACACTGACAACAGGACGATTATGTAGCATACGTACTTCTAGGTTTGTTGTTATTTGGAAGGTTACATAAGAGGTTGTTTTTGATCTTTTATACAGAAGATTGCATGCATCTAAGCATTTGCACACTTACAAGAAGATCTGTTTTATCTGTTCAAAAGATTTCCGATATCATTAAATTATTATAATTAAGTATATTGTTAATATTCATGTACACAAAGCAGGAAATCATTGTCATTTTCATGGCTTTGAATATATCAACACTTTCTTAATCCAAGTATATATTTTAATGACAACTAGTTACAGAAGTCAGAATGGGGGGGAGGGGTTTGCATAGCTTGCTTAGTCCATAACTACTATTTTAATTGCTCCTTGCCAAATGTAAGTACATACATACTTACAGCATCATTATTTGAAAAGATAAAATTATTGGGTGAATGTTTTTATATCAAGATTTGTTGTGATATATACCCATGATATTATGTAATTATTAGGAGTCTCATGGAAGTGTAAAACAGTAATTGATATAGCTGAATATATTAATATCTGTGTAGAAGAATTGCAGCATACATGTTAGTCAGTCATCAATTTCCGTTCTTCACTTTCTGGTTCCCTTTAGATGTACTAACTAAAATCCTGGATCAGACTAAAATGATGGATTAAAAAATCTCACACTTTGAGAAAGCACTGTGTCCCATCTGAAAAATCCATAGACTTTAGAAATTAAATCAGATCCAAAGAAGGTTTTTAGCAAGGTTTTTGAAACGGTCTCCCACAACACTCTCACTATCAAGCCGAGGACGTACAGGTTGGAGGAATAGACTGTAAGGTGAATAGAAAACTGGCTGGATAGTAGGGCTCAAAGAGTAGTAATTAATTAATGGCTCCTATATTCAGCACTGGTGAGGCCACATGTGAAGTACTGTGTCAAGTTTTGGGCCCCCCACTCCAGAAAGATACAGACAAATTGGAGAGAATCCAGCAGCAGCGAAAATGGTAAGGGGGATGGGCCACATTATTTATGAGAAGAAGCTGAGGGAAATGGGCATATTTCGTTTGGAGAAGAGAAGACTGAAGGGGAATTTAATAAGAGTCTTCAACTACCTAAAGATTGGTTCCAATGAGGATGGAGCTAGACTGTTGTCATGGTGGCAGATAACAGAACAAGGAGCAGTGGTGTAAAGTTGCATCAGGGGAAGTTTAGTTTAGATATTAGGAAAAACTTTCTCAGTAGGAGGGTAGTAAAACACTGGGACAGGCTACTCATCCTTAGAAGTTTTTAGGACTTGGCTAGACAAAGCCTGGGTTAGGATGATATAGCTGGGGAAGGTCCTGCTTTGAGCAGAAGGTTGGACTTGATGACCACTTGAGGTTCCTTCCAACCCTAATTTTCTGTTATTCTAAGGGTTAGGTTGACTCCAACAAGCATCACAGTATCACACTTCTAGGGCCAAATTCTAATTAACCTGTAAGGTAGTTCATCTTAAGCACTGCAGTGCCTAAAACATAAGCACCCTGCACCAGAAGGGTAATCCAAATCTGCAGATCCAAAGCTGCAACTACCAACTGAGATTTTGAATTAAAGTAGTTTATCATCATGTTTGTGCTGAACCTACTCTTCAACTATAAAGTGGGTGTACTGTAGGCAGGCTTATGGGATTAGACTGTTTAGGGAACTTGGATAGCACTCTGCCTAGTTTCTGGACCTTAATTGGACTTGGGTAAGAGCTAGAAATCTAACTATTCCTGTCTGGACATACACAGGAGTGGAAGCACAGGTACTTATGGAACTTTTAGGTAAAAAAATGTGACTCCAGGCTTAAACAGCTGTTGAGCAGGAAGTTTTGGTTCACAATATGAATTTAGGCATCTTATGTCTGCCTGAATCTTTCCTTAGGTTGAGCTCTTCGCCTATACCTTATCACAAAAATCGTTTTAAATAAAAAAGAGCATGTTGCAAATGCATTACAATCAGAAGTCTTTCAAAACAGTTAAAAGACTGTATAGTAATCCTGTGACAAATTGGTGTTAAAAATTAAGTGTGACCATACAGAGAACTTATCTGATGGTGACACTTGTTAGCTAAGTTCTAATCGGACAAACACTACAAAGGGGTTATCCAATATGTAATCCTATTTTAGTAGATTACGTTTGTGTGAATTCTTTATCGTTCTGCTGACAGAAATAAATCCACCACTTTCAGGGCTTTAGACTTTTCATTTCTTTCTGCAGTATATGTTGATTGTCCTCGTAGTAAATAAAATGGTTCATCCATCTCCAAGCACATGGGAAGGCATAGTACACAATCCTTGACCATGGGCTACTCCAAAGGAGTGCACTGTCAGCTCCAGCAGAGAAGGGTACTCTGTTTGATTACTGCCTAAGTTCTGTAGGAAGCTATTGATAGAAGTTGCCCTGCAAAATCTAAGCAGCAGTGGTTTTCCCAGATGCCTTCAGCCTTTACCAACCAAGCTGGTCTTGCTGACCAAGTGTGCATCTTAGTAGAGCCAGGACTGTAAGCCAGGATGGAAGTGTAAGAAAGAGTATACATTTCTTCTCCATCTTTTTTTTCTGAAGCAACAGAGAAAATCAAAGATATTCTGAATAATTAACTTCAAGCAGTTTATTCCACTAGGTTTGCAAAGCAACTAGATCTTCCACCAGTGGCACCTTAACCTAAGAAATTAATTTGGAATTATTTTTTTATAAATTTATTTTTAGCCACAAATTAACATTTGGGGCTTTAAAATCCTGGATTTGTATGTTAACAATAGTTCAAGAAAGTTAGGCCTATTCCATACAGGTAGAGTACAGAGAGTCTGCTAAGCAGCTTGATATGCTGTGGATGAGTGACAGTAGCAGGCATCTTTTAGTGCTGTGTCTTTTGCTGTAAAATTCATCCGTGGATTAAGTACGGTTAACATAACCACTGATTATAACAGCATATTATAAAGGAAGTTGATTTCATATATAAATTCTTTCCTGTTGAATTTCAGGGATCGATGACTGTGTAAACTACTCGTCTTAAAGCTGTCACATTAAATACACTGGTTATTTTCTTAAAACTTCACAATGTAATAAACCTTGGAGATTTAACCATTTCATAAAGAATTTGTTTTCTCATTCAGTTGCATTTTGGTGTGAAATAAGCTAGATGCCTGTAGTATCAGAAATGAAAACCTATGTTTTCTTCATAAACACTTGGGCTCTTCTATTACCACTTGCTTATTCAACTTCCATTTACCACCTTTCATTTTGTGTTTATTAAGGTAATGAAAAAAGGGGAAACATGGCTGTTAGCAATTTCAGCAACCCCATTGAGCTCATATTATTCAAGAAACCTAATAATCCACATAAACTAATTCTGACTTATGAATGGTCTGCTTCACTAAATCAGGGTGATTTTCTCTGGTGAATAATGGACGAGGGTAGTGCGCCAGTACCTTAATTAAAGAGAACCTCTCTTAGTCTTGATCTTATTTTAATTTACAGGGTAATACTACAATAATATCACTAATGGAAGGTACATTAAAGGGCATCAAGTAGTATTAACTGTATTAAATTATGGCACTTGTGTTAATTAACTGCTGAGGCAAGATGGTCCTAATGGCTAGAAAGATCGACTAATGCATAAACAAAGTCTGCCAGGATGAGAAAGTAAGAAATAGTAGACATTTCTTCTCCATCTTTTTTTTTCTGAAGCAACAGAGAAAATCAAGTATATTCTGAATAATTTACTTCAAGAAAGTATTTTTTTTGCACTACTTGAGGAGGGGCAATTTTGGGGGTTCTGAATACTTTGATTAATTGAACAGTGGTTTTGGGGGTTTTTTTAATTTACTAAGAGCTTGATAACAAATATTTTTTTAAATTGAGGGAAAGTCTCCTGGCTTTGGGTCAGGCAGCAGCAGGTTTAGACAAATTAATTCTT